TGGACCGCCCAGCACGATCATGTTTGCCACAATCCTAGATACCTTGGGACGAGATTCCAGCTCTTTTTGCCTTCAAAGGGGCCCGCCGCATGAAAAATCGTCCCCATATAAGGGCGTTTGTGAGCCCGCGAGGCTGCGAAATCCGTACCGGTATAAAATGTGAAGCAATGTTACTCGGATCCTGGACCGCCCAGCACGATCATGTTTGCCACAATCCTAGATACCTTGGGACGAGATTCCAGCTCTTTTTGCCTTCAAACGGGCCCGCCGCATGAAAAACCGTCCCCATATAAGGGCGTTTATGAGCCCGGGAAGCTGCGAAATCCGTACCGGTATAAAATGTGAAGCAATGTTACTCGGATCCTGGTCCGCCCAGCATGATCGTGTTTGCCACAATCCTGGATACCTTGGGACGAGATTCCAGCTCTTTTTGCCTTCAAACGGGCCCGCCGCATGAAAAACTGTCCCCATATAAGGGCGTTTGTGAGCCCGGGAAGCTGCGAAATCCGTACCGGTATAAAATGTGAAGCAATGTTACTCGGATCCTGGACCGCCCAGCACGATCATGTTTGCCACAATCCTAGATACCTTGGGACGAGATTCCAGCTCTTTTCGCCTTCAAACGGGCCCGCCGCATGAAAAATCGTCCCCATATAAGGGCGTTTGTGAGCCCGCGAGGCTGCGAAATCCGTACCGGTATAAAATGTGAAGCAATGCTACTCGGATCCTGGACCGCCCAGCACGATCATGTTTGCCACAATCCTAGATACCTTGGGACGAGATTCCAGCTCTTTTTGCCTTCAAACGGGCCCGCCGCATGAAAAACCGTCCCCATATAAGGGCGTTTATGAGCCCGGGAAGCTGCGAAATCCGTACCGGTATAAAATGTGAAGCAATGTTACTCGGATCCTGGTCCGCCCAGCATGATCGTGTTTGACAATCCTGGATACCTTGGGACGAGATTCCAGCTCTTTTTGCCTTCAAACGGGCCCGCCGCATGAAAAACTGTCCCCATATAAGGGCGTTTGTGAGCCCGGGAAGCTGCGAAATCCGTACCGGTATAAAATGTGAAGCAATGTTACTCGGATCCTGGACCGCCCAGCACGATCATGTTTGCCACAATCCTAGATACCTTGGGACGAGATTCCAGCTCTTTTCGCCTTCAAACGGGCCCGCCGCATGAAAAATCGTCCCCATATAAGGGCGTTTGTGAGCCCGCGAGGCTGCGAAATCCGTACCGGTATAAAATGTGAAGCAATGCTACTCGGATCCTGGACCGCCCAGCACGATCATGTTTGCCACAATCCTAGATACCTTGGGACGAGATTCCAGCTCTTTTTGCCTTCAAACGGGCCCGCCGCATGAAAAACCGTCCCCATATAAGGGCGTTTATGAGCCCGGGAAGCTGCGAAATCCGTACCGGTATAAAATGTGAAGCAATGTTACTCGGATCCTGGTCCGCCCAGCATGATCGTGTTTGACAATCCTGGATACCTTGGGACGAGATTCCAGCTCTTTTTGCCTTCAAACGGGCCCGCCGCATGAAAAACTGTCCCCATATAAGGGCGTTTGTGAGCCTGGGAAGCTGCGAAATCCGTACCGGTATAAAATGTGAAGCAATGTTACTCGGATCCTGGACCGCCCAGCACGATCGTATTTGCCACAATCCTAGATACCTTGAGACGAGATTCCAGCTCTTTTTGCCTTCAAACGGGCCCGCCGCATGAAAAACCGTCCCCATATAAGGGCGTTTATGAGCCCGGGAACCTGCGAAATCCGTACCGGTATAAAATGTGAAGCAATGTTACTCGGATCCTGGTGCGCCCAGCATGATCGTGTTTGACAATCCTGGATACCTTGGGACGAGATTCCAGCTCTTTTTGCCTTCAAACGGGCCCGCCGCATGAAAAACTGTCCCCATATAAGGGCGTTTGTGAGCCTGGGAAGCTGCGAAATCCGTACCGGTATAAAATGTGAAGCAATGTTACTCGGATCCTTGACCGCCCAGCACGATCATGTTTGCCACAATCCTAGATACCTTGGGACGAGATTCCAGCTCTTTTTGCCTTCAAACGGGCCCGCCGCATGAAAAATCGTCCCCATATAAGGGCGTTTGTGAGCCCGCGAGGCTGCGAAATCCGTACCGGTATAAAATGTGAAGCAATGTTACTCGGATCCTGGACCGCCCAGCACGATCATGTTTGCCACAATCCTAGATACCTTGGGACGAGATTCCAGCTCTTTTTGCCTTCAAACGGGCCCGCCGCATGAAAAACCGTCCCCATATAAGGGCGTTTATGAGCCCGGGAAGCTGCGAAATCCGTACCGGTATAAAATGTGAAGCAATGTTACTCGGATCCTGGTCCGCCCAGCATGATCGTGTTTGACAATCCTGGATACCTTGGGACGAGATTCCAGCTCTTTTTGCCTTCAAACGGGCCCGCCGCATGAAAAACTGTCCCCATATAAGGGCGTTTGTGAGCCCGGGAAGCTGCGAAATCCGTACCGGTATAAAATGTGAAGCAATGTTACTCGGATCCTGGACCGCCCAGCACGATCGTGTTTGCCACAATCCTAGATACCTTGGGACGAGATTCCAGCTCTTTTTGCCTTCAAACGGGCCCGCCGCATGAAAAACCGTCCCCATATAAGGGCGTTTGTGAGCCCGCGAGGCTGCGAAATCCGTACCGGTATGAAATGTGAAGCAATGTTACTCGGATCCTGGACCGCCCAGCACGATCGTGTTTGCCACAATCCTTGATACCTTGGGACGAGATTCCAGCTCTTTTTGCCTTTAAACGGGCCCGCCGCATGAAAAATCGTCCCCATATAAGGGCGTTTGTGAGCCCGCGAGGCTGCGAAATCCGTACCGGTATGAAATGTGAAGCAATGTTAACCAGATCCTGGACCGCGCAGCACTATCGTGTTTGCCACAATCCTAGATACCTTGGGACGAGATTCCAGCTATTTTTGCCTTCAAACGGGCCCGCCGCATGAAAAACCGTCCCCATATAAGGGCGTTTGTGAGCCCGGGAAGCTGCGAAATCCGTACCGGTATAAAATGTGAAGCTATGTGTGAAACAATGAGAAGAGGAATGAAATGACTAAGTCAGAAATTGGTACAAATAACAAACCCTAGGAATCTGTACCCCATATGTGCTACCCCACTACAGCCTACAAACATGTATCAGCTATAATGTTCTGACACACCCCCATAGGCAAAGTGGGGGAGAACAAGGGGTCACAAGACCAGTCAAGCAAAGCAAAGCAAGCTCAGGGTGGATCACAAAGTCACCACACAGTCCGAGCACAAGAGCAGGGCCAGAGGCCAGTTCACATGCAGGAGTACAGACATATATATATTACTAGACAAGCAAGAGCAGGTATATATATATATCACAGTACAAGTGAAGTCAGGAAGAGAGCAAGTGAGGCAAGACAGGCACAAGACCCAGCTGGGTACAGAAGCGCTGATGGTCACAAGGCGCGAGTGCCTTGGTGAACACATCAGCAGTGTTGGCCTCAGAGGCCACGTACGCAAGTCGCAGCTGACCACGCTGCTGCAGCTCACGAGCAAGGAAGTAGCGGAGAGCAATGTGCTTCGTTCTGTGCTCCAGACGCTGCTCTCGACACAAGGCCAGCATGGCCTTGTTGTCTACGTACAGCACTGGAGGAGAACGAGGCGGCTCTCCAAGGTCAGTCAGCAGGTAGGTGAGCCAGCGAAGCTCCTGTGCAGCCATGGCCCCGGCGTAGATCTCAGCCTCACAACTGGAGCCGAGAACCGAAGACGAGCGAGTAGACCGCCACGAGACAGAGCCGGAACCAAGGCTGAAGGTGTAACCCTGTGACGACCGCTGCGTAGCCTGGTCGTCAGCCCAAGAAGCGTCCGCGTGGCCCAAAAGGACCACTGGACTCCGCCCTCCAAGCACTAGCCCCATGCCCGACGTACTGCACAGGTAGCGCAATACCCTCTTCGCTGCAGCCATGTGCTCAGGTCGGTGTCTCCCAGGAGCAACATAGCGTGCAAGGATGCTCAGAGGGTATGCAAGGTCAGGTCGTGTGCAGGTCATCAGGTACATGAGGCAGCCAACAAGCTCTGCATACGGGCCACTCGACTCTACGGACTCATCCGAAGGCAGAGCTGAGAGCGAGTGGCGAGTAGGCAGAGGAGTGGCCTGAGGCGAGGAGTACGTGAAGCCGAAGCGCTGAAGGACCTGCTGCACCATGTGTGACTGAGTCAGGGTAATGGTGCGGCGTGCTCTGTCCCGAGTGATCTGCAAGCCAAGGTAGCTGCGCAGTTCACCCAGGTCTGTGCACGTGTGTCTCTTCAGCAGCTCGGACTTCACGTAGGCGAGTCCAGCAGTGTCCGCTGTGGCAAAGACCAAGTCGTCGACGTACACGAGGATGTAGAACGGCGGCAAGGAAGTGTCGGTGCGAAGAAACAGCGACGGGTCAGCAGTGGAAGGAGCAAACCCAAGAGCCGCAAGCGTAGTCCTCAGTGTGTCGTGCCACTCACGCGGTGCCTGGCGGAGACCGTAGACTGGCCGTCGGAGGCTCCACTCGGTGCCAGGAGGGAAAGTCCCAGTGAAGCCAGGCGGACGGCGCAGCCAGATCTCCTCGTGCAGGCTACCCTGCAGGAACGCAGTGCTGAAGTCGAGAGAGTGAAGCTCGTAGTCGCGCTGAGCGGCAACGTGCAGCAGCACCCGAAGAGTAGTCATCTTCGGGGTGGGAGAGAAGGTCTGAAAGTAGTCAACTCCCTGCCGCTGACTGAAGCCACGAGCGACGTAACGCGCCTTGAAGACAGGCGGAGAGCCCGGCGGCCGCTTCACCCTGAAGATCCACATGCCACTGACGATGTTCGCCCCAGGAGGGGGAACTGCGTCAACGTAGGTGCCTGTGGACTTCCAGGAAGCCATCTCTGCATCCATAGCTGCCTGCCACTGAGAGGAGTATAAGATACATAGCAGAAAGGATAGCATCAAAATCAAGATCAAAGATCGCTACACCAGCCCTAAGGAGCTCATCCCAGCGAGGGATCTCACTAGCCCCGGGGAACTGCTGACGCCAAGCGTCCGTCAGGCGGCCAAAGCAGCGCTGGGTGGAGTGGGCACCCCCACACTGCTCACCCGCGCGGTCGCCGGAACGAAGAACGTAGGCGCAGGGACCAGTACCCCCACCCCTCTGACGCGCAGTGTACCACTCACGAAGCTGCTGAGGCGGAGGGATGTCCCGCGAACGCTGCTGCTGCTGCCGCTGCAAGCGCTGGCCACCACCACCGCCGCTCCGCTGCTGGGTACCACCACGACCAGCTCCACCTCCTCCACCACCACCGCCTCCTCCGCCGCCGCCTCCACCGCCTCCACCTCCACCGCCTCCACCTCCACCGCCTCCACTCCCGCTGCTGCCTCCACCACCACCGGTGCCACCACCACCACCGTCTCCGCCGCTGCTGCCACCACCACCACCACCACTACCACTACTCCCGCCGCCACCCCCACTCCCTCCGCCGCCTCCGCCGCCACCGCCACCGCCCCCTCCAGCTCCGCCCGCGCCCTTGCCCCCCTTGCCCTTGCCAGAGCGACGTCTCCCACTAGGGGCAGACGCCGCGCCGACCGACTCAAGACCAAGCAGGTCGGCCGCAGCAGCAGAGGCAACAGAGGGCAGCAAGGGGGAAGGAGAGCACCCCTCAAAGATGGGGGTGCGAGGGTCACCACGAGAGGCACCGACAGCGACTATGCTCTTCTCCGCTGCGAGGAGGGCCTTCTCGAGGAGGTCGACGGTGAGAGTGGTGGGACAGACTGCGAGAAAGTGGTCCCTGACTACGCGGAGGGAGTCACGGAGGCGTGCAACTACGTAGTAGAGAGTGATGTACATGGGGGGGGGGTTCTTAGCGCAGAACTCAGCAGGAAGGGCGGCGCGGTAGCGAGTGTCACTAGTGCGGAGGTGCGTAATGAGGTCAGCGACAGTGGGAAAGGCAGAGAGGTCAGGAAAGAGGTAGGGAAGCATGAGACGGCTCAGTGCAGCAGTGGCAGGAGAGGAGTAGCGTGCAACTACAGCGTCGTACAAGGTCTGAGCACTCTTGTACTGACTAAAATGCGCACGCTCAGAGGTAGGGAGGTGGCGACGCACAGCAAGACGTGCAGCAGCATCGCGGGTGGCCCACTGAGAGCGGACAGTGGGATCAGCATCGGCAGCAGGAGCAGGAGAGGCGCCAGAGGTGAGGTCAAAGAGAGAAAGGCTGTCAGCTCTGTCGCACTGTAAGAAAAGCTGCAGGTCATCTAGCCAGACCTCAAAATCAATGGCGCGACCCTCGGCGTCAAAGGCTAGGACACTAGGGGTGGCCATGATGACGACAGCGAAGCAGTGCAAGCAGTAGGGAAAGAGGGCGCAGTGACAGAGGGACTGTGCTCACCAGGCAGGGCAGGCCGTGCAGCTCGACAGAAAAGCAGAGCGGCGACCGGGCGGCTCGGGTGTACAGCTGCTCAGCTCCCGGGCGGCTCGGCGGCAGGGCGGCTCGGGTGCAGGGCGGCTCGGCTCCCGGGCGGCTCGGCGACGGACGGCTCGGGTGCAGGGCGACTCGGCTCCCGGGCGGCTCGGCGACTGGGCGGCTCGGCTGTCCGGCCGCCCGACAGCTGCAGGTGAGGCGGCGGGGTCGCGTAAGAGGACCGGGGCGGGGCCGCGAAGGGGCCGGCGGTAGGGCCGCGTAGGAGCCGGCGGCAGGGTCGGCGGTAGGGCCGGCTTAGGAGCCGGGGCAGGGCCGCGTTGGAGCCGGCGGCAGGGCCGCGCAGGGGTCGGCGCAGGGCCGAGCAGAGGCCGGCGGCAGGGCCGCGTAAGGAGCCGGCGGACAGGGCCGTGAAGGAGCCGGGACGGGGCCGCGTGAGAGTCGGCGCGGGGCCGAGTAGGAGTCGGCAGCGGGGCCGCGTAGGAGGCCGGCGCGGGGCCGCGTAAGGGGCCGGCGCGGGGCCGCGTAAGGGGCCGGCGGCTGGGCCGCGTAAGGGGCCGGCGCGGGGCCGCGTAAGGGGCCGCGTAAGGGGCCGGCGCGGGGCCGCGTAAGGGGCCGGCGGCTGGGCCGCGTAAGGGGCCGGCGGACAGGGCCGCGTAGGAGCCGGGGACGGGGCCGCGTAGGAGCCGGCGCGGGGCCGCTTAGGAGCCGGCGCGGGGCCGCGTAAGGGCCGCGTAAGGGGGGCCGACGCGGGGCCGCGTAAGGAGCAGGCGGCGGGGCCGCGTAAGGGTCAGGGCGGGGCCGCGACAGAGTGGGCGGGGAGGCCGCAGGGGAGAGGGCGACTCGAGGGGTCGCTAAAAAAAACGCGCCTCGGGGCGCGCTTCGGTGGGCCCAAAAAAAATCGGTCCTGGAGGGAACTAGCTCTATACCATGTGAAACAATGAGAAGAGGAATGAAATGACTAAGTCAGAAATTGGTACAAATAACAAACCCTAGGAATCTGTACCCCATATGTGCTACCCCACTACAGCCTACAAACATGTATCAGCTATAATGTTCTGACACTATGTTACTCGGATCCTGGACCGCCCAGCATGATTGTGTTTGCCACAATCGCAGATACCTTGGGACAAGATTCCAGCTCTGTTTGCCTTCAAACGGGCCTGCCGCATGAAAAATCGTCCCCATATAAGGGCGTTTGTGAGCCCGCGAGGCTGCGAAATCCGTACCGGTATGAAATGTGAAGCAATGTTACTCGGATCCTGGACCGCCCAGCACGATCGTGTTTGCCACAATCCTAGATACCTTGGGACGAGATTCCAGCTCTTTTTGCCTTTAAACGGGCCCGCCGCATGAAAAATCGTCCCCATATAAGGGCGTTTGTGAGCCTGCGAGGCTGCGAAATCCGTACCGGTATAAAATGTGAAGCAATGTTACTCGGATCATGGACCGCCCAGCACGATCATGTTTGCCACAACCCTAGATACCTTGGGACGAGATTCCAGCTCTTTTTGCCTTCAAACGGGCCCGCCGCATGAAAAACCGTCCCCATATAAGGGTGTTTGTGAGCCCGGGAAGCTGCGAAATCCGTACTGGTATAAAATGTGAAGCAATGTTACTCGGATCCTGGACCGCCCAGCATGATTGTGTTTGCTACAATCGTAGATACCTTGGGACAAGATTCCAGCTCTGTTTGCCTTCAAACGGGCCCGCCGCATGAAAAATCGTCCCCATATAAGGGCGTTTGTGAGCCCGCGAGGCTGCGAAATCCGTACCGGTATAAAATGTGAAGCAATGTTACTCGGATCCTGGACCGCCCAGCACGATCGTGTTTGCCACAATCCTAGATACCTTGGGACGAGATTCCAGCTCTTTTTGCCTTCAAACGGGCCCGCCGCATGAAAAATCGTCCCCATATAAGGGTGTTTGTGAGCCCGCGAGGCTGCGAAATCCGTACCGGTATGAAATGTGAAGCAATGTTAACCAGATCCTGGACCGCCCAGCACGATCGTGTTTGCACAATCCTAGATACCTTGGGACGAGATTCCAGCTCTTTTTGCCTTCAAACGGGCCCTCCGCATGAAAAACCGTCCCCGTATAAGGGCGTTTGTGAGCCAGGGAAGCTGGGAAATCTGTACCTGTATAAAATGTGAAGCAATGTTACTCGGATCCTGGACCGCCAAGCACGATCGTGTTTGCCACAATCCTAGATACCTTGGGACGAGATTCCAGCTATTTTTGCCTTCAAACGGGCCCGCCGCATGAAAAACCGTCCCCATATAAGGGCATTTGTGAGCCCGGGAAGCTGCGAAATCCGTACCGGTATAAAATGTGAAGCAATGTTACTCGGATCCTGGACCGCCCAGCATGATTGTGTTTGCCACAATCGTAGATACCTTGGGACAAGATTCCAGCTCTGTTTGCCTTCAAACGGGCCTGCCGCATGAAAAATCGTCCCCATATAAGGGCGTTTGTGAGCCCGCGAGGCTGCGAAATCCGTACCGGTATAAAATGTGAAGCAATGTTACTCGGATCCTGGAACGCCCAGCATGATTGTGTTTGCCACAATCGTAGATACCTTGGGACAAGATTCCAGCTCTGTTTGCCTTCAAACGGGCCCGCCGCATGAAAAATCGTCCCCATATAAGGGCGTTTTGAGAAAAAGTGAACGAGAATGAAATGACTATGAACGAAGTGGGTACAAATAGCAAACCCTAGTTGGGTTGTACCCCCTATGGGATACCCCACTATAGCCTACACAAATAAGTAAGCTATAATATTCTGACACACCCCCATAGGCAAAGTGGGGGAGAACAAGGGGTCACAAGACCAGTCAAGCAAAACAAAACAAAGCTCAGGGTGGATCACAAAGTCACCACACAGTCCGAGCACAAGGTCAAAAGGCCAAAAGGCCAGTTCACATGCAAGAGCATATATAGAGATATACAAGAGTATATATAAGTCAAGAAGCGAGCAAGTGAGGTAGGACAGGCACAAGACCCAGCTGCGTGCAACAACGCTGATGATCACAAGGCGCAAGTGCCTTGGTGAAGACATCAGCAGTGTTGGCCTCAGAGGCCACGTACGCAAGTCGCAACTGTCCACGCTGCTGTAGCTCACGAGCAAGAAAGTAGCGAAGAGCAATGTGCTTTGTCCTGTGCTCCAGTCGCTGCTCTCGACACAAGGCCAGCATGGCCTTGTTGTCGACGTACAGGACTGGAGGAGAACGAGGCGGCTCTCCAAGGTCGGTCAGCAGGTAGGTGAGCCAGCGAAGCTCCTGTGCAGCCATGGCCCCGACGTAAATCTCAGCCTCACAACTGGAGCCGAGAACAGAAGACGAGCGGGTAGCCCGCCACGAGACAGAGCCGGAACCATGGCTGAAGGTGTAACCCTGTGACGACCGCTGCGTAGCCTGGTCGTCAGCCCAAGAAGCGTCCGCGTGCCCAGTGAGGACCACTGGACTGCGCCCTCCAAGCACTAGCCCCATGCCCGACGTACTGCACAAGTAGCGCAACACCCTCTTCGCTGCAGCCATGTGCTCTGGTCGGTGTCTCCCAGGAGCAACATAGCATGCGAGAATGCTAAGAGGGTATGCAAGGCCAGGTCGTGTGCAGGTCATCAGATACATGAGGCAGCCAACAAGCTCTGCATACGGGCCACTCGACTCTACGGACTCATCCGAAGGCAGAGCTGAGAGCGAGTGGCGAGTAGGCAGAGGAGTGGCCTGAGGCGAGGAGTACGTGAAGCCGAAGCGCTGAAGGACCTGCTGCACCATGTGTGACTGAGTCAGGGTAATGGTGCGGCGTGCTCTGTCTCGGGTGATCTGCAAGCCAAGGTAGCTGCGCAGTTCACCCAGGTCAGTGCACGTGTGTCGCTTCTGCAGCTCGGACTTCACGTAGGCAAGTCCAGCAGTGTCAGCTGTGGCAAAGACCAAGTCGTCGACATACACGAGGATGTAGAACGGCGGCAGAGAGGTGTCGGTGCGAAGAAACAGCGACGGGTCGGCAGTAGAGGGAGCAAACCCAAGTGTCGCCAGCGTAGTCCTCAGTGTGTCGTGCCACTCACGTGGCGCCTGGCGGAGACCGTAGACTGGACGCCGAAGACTCCACTGGGTACCAGGAGGGAAAGACCCAGTGAAGCCAGGTGGGCGACGCAGCCAGATCTCCTCGTGCAGGCTACCCTGCAAGAAAGCAGTGCTGAAGTCGAGAGAGTGCAGCTCGTAGTCACGGTGAGCAGCAACGTGCAGTAGTACCCGAAGAGTGGTCATCTTCGGGGTGGGGGAGAAGGTCTGAAAGTAGTCAACCCCCTGCCGCTGACTGAAGCCACGAGCCACGTAACGCGCCTTGAAGACAGGCGGAGAACCCGGCGGCCGCTTCACCCTGAAGATCCACATGCCACTGACGATGTTCGCCCCAGGAGGGGGAACAGCGTCAACGTAGGTGCCTGTGGACTTCCAGGAAGCCATCTCTGCATCCATAGCTGCCTGCCACTGAGAGGAGTAGGGACCCTCTACCGCCTCCGCGTAAGAGCGCGGAGTCGGGATGTCTAGTGCATCCGGGTCTCCCTCAGGGGCTAGCAGTACAGACGCGAGATGAGGTGAAGCGGCGGCCAGACAGTGGAACTCCTCTTGCCTGTCCTCAAGGACGTCCGTGCCAAGGGCACACTCACCCCCGACGGACGGAGGACAGGCGGACTCTGACTCAGCGACAAGAGTAGCAGCGTAGTCCAGACGACAGCGAGCAGCAAAGTCGACGAGCTCAGTGACAAGGGCAGACGCAGCAGACGACTCAAAAGAAGGGTCGGTGACAGCAGTAGCAAGGAGACGCGTGACAGTAGGACTGGCAGCACGAAGAGAGTCCGACTCCGGGTCGGCAAGAGCAGGAAGAGAGGAAGCAGGAGGAGAAGGCAAAGGGGCACGCAGAGGAGCAGTGGACGGACGCAGAGACATCCGGTGCGTGCCAGGGACAGGAGGAGGACGCTGACGCGAACCGCGACCACTAATGCGCGCAGTACGAACAGGCGACGCAGGACGAGACGCAGGCTCACGACGCTCAGTAAGACCTCCAGTCGGACCAGCGTAGGGAGAAGGAGCAGGCAAAGGGGAGGCAGGCAGTAGCTGGGACTGTGACGAGACAGGCTGTGGACCCTCTAAGGGAGGAGGAAAAGGAGAAGGTGTAAGACCAAGAACCTGCTGCAGGAGTGGAACGAAGTACTGTCGGGGTCGCACGGCGACGCCAGAAACAGCAGGGACAGCACCAGTACCCCCAGGAGGAGTACCCGCTCCAGCAGCACCTCCAGCAGCACCAGAACCTCCAGGAGGACCACCAGGAGCACCGCCAGTCGGACCGGCAGCGGTAGTCTCAGCGCCAACACCCTCAGCAGCACCAGCTCCAGGAGAACCCGCGGACCCAGCAGCTCCAGCACCCACAGTACGAGCACCTCCGGGACGCTCGGCAGCAGCACCCTCTGCAGTCGAAGAAACTCCAGCACCAGCAGTTCGCCTCCAGCGCCGGGAAAACCACTCACGCAGCTCCTGTGGGGAGAGCGACTCTCGGCGAGACGAAGCACCCCCAGGCGGAGCACTCCCAGTCCCAGCACCCTCAGGCCCAGCACCCCCAGGCTCAGCACCTCCAGACACTGCACCCCCAGTCTCAGCACCCCCAGGCTCAGCACCCCCAGGTCCAGCACCCCCAGGCTCAGCACCCCCAGGCTCAGCACCCCCAGGGCCAGCACCCCCAAGCTCAGCACCCCCAGACCCAGCACCCCCAGGCTCAGCACCCGCAGCAGCACTAGAGTCACCAGTGACCTCAACAGGCTCGACCGCGTCTACCTGGGACACACCTGAAGGGGCAGGACCCTGAGGGGGGAGGGGGTCTACCGGGGGGGGACCTGGCACCAAGAAGAGCGGGGGCGGGGGGAGGGACGGAGTGCGGTAGGGGAAGAGGCGGTAGTAGGGTACCGACTCGTCGAACGTGACATCCTGTGAGGACAGAACACGTCGAGAGGTGGGGTGGTAGAACTGCCACCCAGGGGCGTCGGGGGGGAACCCCAGGAAGACGCAGGGAGAAGCGCGAGGGGACAGTTTGTCCGCAGACAGGTCGCGAACAAACGCCCGAGATCCCCAGACCCGGAACGCCGACGCATCGCCAACCTTCCCCGTCCACAGCGGGGCTGGGGAGGTCTCCGGTCGAGAGACCCTGGGGTGGAGGTTGATCTGGTGCGCAGCGTACCTGACCGCAAACGGCCACAGAAAATGGGGAGCTGCCGCATGCATCATGGACGTACGAGCGACGTCCATGACCATGCCAATGCGGCGCTCAGCAATCCCATTCTGCTGTGGTGAGTCCGGAAGCGTGAAGGACTGACAGATGCCTCGCGCACGACAGTAGGCACTCAGAAGGCCAGAGGAGAACTCTCCGCCTCTGTCCGAGTGCAGACGCAAAACAGGGAGGTCAGAGCCAAAGCTCTTCCGAAGCTGGAGACGAGCTGCGCGGATCCAGTCGATCAGCACCTCAGCGACCTCACCCTTGCTGCGCAAGGGGAAGACTGTGGTGTAACGCGAGTAGTCGTCAACAACGAGCAGGAAGTAGCGCTCCTGACCCTGTCCACGGACGCGGGCTGGGCCCCACACGTCCATGTGAAGCGTCTGCAACGGGGCCTCTGTCGGAGGAAACTGGGAGGAGTGAGGGGCAGCACGCTGGCGCCCCTCAACACAGGGGACACAGGCAGGGCCAGGGCCCTGAGGAAGGGGAGGGAGGGACCGCGGAAGACCAGACACAAGAAGACGGGAGGCCATACCTCTTAGCCGAAGCAGAGAGGGGTGGCCAAGGCGGTGGTGCCAGAGGAGGGTCTCGTGAGACAGACGACGACACGAACAGGGGGCAGACTCAGGACCAGACCTGGACGCTGCAGCAAACACCTGACCAGACGAAGGGACCCTACCAGACTCAGCACCTGGAGGAGAAGCAGTGGTCAGTGTGTACAGGCTCGACCCTGGCCGACGTGTAAACGTAGCCAGGTGGCGACCTGTGCTAGCCTCCGTGCAGTGTGTCACCCGCTGACGAGCAGGGGTGAACTGGTGGACACCCGCATCCTGTAGGTCAGCACCACTCACCAGGTTCGTCGAGAACGAGGGGAGGTAGAGACCAGACAGGGTGCCAGAGGGGGCCGCCGGACACGGAAGGACCGTGGAGAAGCGAGACAGGATAGGCCCCCCAGAGGGGTCAGCCAGGGACACCGCAACCGGCCGACTCAGCGGCGTGAGAGTGGTGCGGTCCCGAAAGAAGGAGCGAGAGGCCCCAGAGTCGAGGGTGAAGGTGTGAGAGGCCGAAGCCGACACAGTACCTGAGAGCGCAGACTCACCAGCACCTGAGCGTACAGGCGCAACGGCACCTAGTGCAGCAGCCTCACAGGCACCTAGAGCAGCAGTACCAATGCCCGGGTCGGGCGGGAAACACCGGTAACAGTCATCCTCATCACTACCAGTCACAGCATACATAGCAGAAAGAATAGCATCAAAGTCAAGATCAAAGATAGCTACACCAGCCCTAGACAGCTCTCCCCAGCGGGGGATCTCAGCGGCCTCCGGAAACTGCTGACGCCAGGCGTCGGTCAGGCGGCCAAAGCAGCGGCGGGCTGTGTGGGTGCCTCCACACCTCTCCCCCGCACGGTCGCCGGTGCGAAGAACGTAGGGGCAGGGACCAAACGCACCACCACGCTGACGCTGCAAGTACCACTCACGAAGCTGCTGAGGGGCGGGGACGGCGCGAGAGCGCTGCTGCTGCTGTGGCTGCTGCTGCTGCTGCTGCTGCTGCTGCTGGCGCTGACCACCCCCAGAGCTGCTCCGCTGGGACGAGCCACTCCGACCCCCGCCGCCCCCGCCACCCCCGCCTCCACCGCTACCCCCGTCTCCACCGCCACCGCCCCCACCGGCACCCTCGCCCCCGCCGCCCCCACCGCCTCCTCCGCTACCGCCTCCGCCGCCACCTCCGCCTCCACCGCCGCCACCAGTACCTCCACTCCCGCCACCACCTCCACCGCCACCCCCACTCCCCCCGCCACCCCCACCCCCTCCGCCACTGCCCCCTCTAGCTCCACCCGCTCCCTTGCCCCCCTTGCCCTTGCTAGAGCGGCGTCTACCGCTGGGGGCAGACGCCGCACCGACCGACTCAAAACCAGCGAGGTCGGCCGCAGCGGCAGAGGCGACAGAGGGCAGCAGGGGGGAAGGAGAACACCCCTCAAAGATGGGGGTGCGAGGGTCACCCCGAGAGGCCCCTACAGCGACGATGCTCTTCGCAGCCGCTAGCAGGGACTCCTCAAGGAGGTCGACAGTGAGGGTGGTGGGACAGACAGAGAGAAACTGGTCCCTAACGACACGAAGGGACTCAGGGAGACGGGTGACGAGAAAGTAGAGAGTGATGTACATGGGAGGAGGGTTTGCGGCGCGGAACTCAGCAGGAAGCGCAGCGCGGTAGCGAGTGTCACTAGCGCGGAGGTGGGTAACGAGGTCAGCAACAATGGGAAAGGCAGCGAGGTCAGGGAAGAGAAACGGTAGCATGAGGCGGCTCAGCGTAGCGGAGGAAGGGGAGGAGTAGCGTGCAACTACAGCGTCGTACAAGGCCTGAGCGGTCTTGCACTGACTAAAGTGGGCACGCTCGGAGGAAGGGAGGTGGCGACGCACAGCAAGACGTGCAGCAGCATCGCGGGTCGCCCACTTGGAGCGAACGGCAGAGTCAGCATCAGCAGGAGGGGCAGGGAAAGCGCCAGAGACAAAGTCAAAGAGAGAGACCTCATCTATCGCATCACACAGTAAGTACAGCTGCAGGTCTTCAATCCAGACTGCAAAGTCAATGGCCCTACCCTCAGCGTCAAAAGTCAGGACATTGGGGGTGGCCATGACAGCAGCTGACAGTCTCACCGGGCTGGAAGAGTCGGGTAGGTCAGCGGCACAGTAACACAGCCCAGGAGCAGCAGTAGCCCCACAGGAGCAGGAGTGCGGCTCCTCCGGCGGCTCGGGCGGCTCAGGCGGCTCGGGCTGCTCGGGCGGCTCGGGCAGCTCAGGCGGCTCGGGCGGCGTGCGCGACTCGGGCGGCTCGGGCGGTGGAACTGGCGGCTGGGGCGGCGCACAGGCGGCTGCTCGGGCGGCTGGTGTGGCTCGTGGGCGGCTAGCGGGCGGCTCACGGGCGGCTGCACGGGTAGCTGTACGGGCGGGTGCACGGGCGGGAATACGGGCGGGTGCACGGGCTGGTGTACGGGCGGCTACACGGGCGGGTGCACGGGCGGCTCACGGGCGGGTGCACAGGCGGGTGCACGGGCGGGTGCACGGGCGGCTGCACGGGCGGGTGCACGGGCGGGCGCACGGGCGGCTACACGGGCAGCTGCACGGGCTGTTCGTCGGGCGGCGCCAGGGCGGCGCGTGGGCGGCGGTCTGGGCAGCGGGACGGGTGGCGCGTTGGGCAGCGCGACGGGCGGCGCTCTGGCGGGCAGCGGACAGCGCGACTGGCGGCGCTAGGGCGGTCGCACGGGCAGCGCGATTGGGCGGCGCTACGGGCGGCTGCAAGGGCGGCTGCAAGGGCGGCGCTACGGGCGGCGCTCACGGGCGGCGCGAACGGGTGGCGCGACGGGCGGCGGCTCACGTGCTGCGCTACGGGCGGCGCGAACGGGCGGCCGCACGGGCGGCGCTACTGGCGACGCTAACGGGCGGCGTGAACGGGCGGCCGCAAGGGCGGCGCTAACGGGCGGCCGCACGGGCGGCGCTACTGGCGGCGCTAACGGGCGGCGTGAACGGGCGGCCGCACGGGCGGCGCTAAGGGGCGGCGCTAACGGGCGGCGCTAACGGGCGGCTCGAACGGGCGGGCGCCAGGGTGGGCACTAGGGCGGGCGCTAGGGCACTAAGGTGCTAGGGCAGAAAAAAAAAATTCTAGGTGGTGGGCCCTAAGCACAGTTCCCACAGGGGAACCTGCTCTGATTCCATGAGAAGAAGTGAACGAGAATGAAATGACTATGAACGAAGTGGGTACAAATAGCAAACCCTAGTTGGGTTGTACCCCCTATGACACGGTCGCGTGCTTGTGTCCGGACGCATGCTTGTGTCGGGACGCATGCTTGTGTCCGGTCGCATGCTTGTGTCCAGACGCATGCTTGTGTCCGGACGCATGCTTGTGTCCGGACGCATGCTTGTGTCCGGACGCATGCTTGTGTCCGGACGCATGCTTGTGTCCGGTCTCATGCTTGTGTCCGGACGCATGCTTGTGTCCGGTCGCATGCTTGTGTCCGTACGCATGCTTGTGTCTGGACGCATGCTTGTGTCCGGACGCATGGTTGTGTCGAGACGCATGCTTGTGTCCAGACGCATGCTTGTGTCCGGACGCATGCTTGTGTCTGGTCGCATGCTTGTGTACGGAGGCATCGGTCGCATGCTTGTGTCCAGATGCATGCTTGTGTCCGGGCGCATGCTTGTGTCCGGATGCATGCTTGTGTCCGGACGCATGCTTGTGTCCGGACGCATGCTTGTGTCCGGTCGCATGCTTGTGTCCGGTCGCATGCTTGTGTCCGGACGCATGCTTGTGTCCGGACGCATGCTTGTGTCCGTACGCATGCTTGTGTCCGGACGCATGCTTGTGTCCGGTCGCATGCTTGTGTCCGGACGCATGCTTGTGTCCGGTCGCATGCTTGTGTCCGGACGCATGCTTGTGTCCGGACGCATGCTTGTGTCCGGACGCATGCTTGTGTCCGGTCGCATGCTTGTGTCCGGTCGCATGCTTGTGTCCGGACGCATGCTTGTGTCCGGTCGCATGCTTGTGTCCGTACGCATGCTTGTGTCTGGACGCATGCTTGTGTCCGGACGCATGGTTGTGTCGAGACGCATGCTTGTGTCCAGACGCATGCTTGTGTCCGGACGCATGCTTGTGTCTGGTCGCATGCTTGTGTACGGAGGCATCGGTCGCATGCTTGTGTCCAGATGCATGCTTGTGTCCGGGCGCATGCTTGTGTCCGGATGCATGCTTGTGTCCGGACGCATGCTTGTGTCCGGACGCATGCTTGTGTCCGGTCGCATGCTTGTGTCCGGTCGCATGCTTGTGTCCGGACGCATGCTTGTGTCCGGACGCATGCTTGTGTCCGGACGCATGCTTGTGTCCGGTCGCATGCTTGTGTCCGGACGCATGCTTGTGTCCGGTCGCATGCTTGTGTCCGGACGCATGCTTGTGTCCGGACGCATGCTTGTGTCCGGACGCATGCTTGTGTCCGGTCGCATGCCTTTGTCCGGACGCATGCTTGTGTCCGGACGCATGCTTGTGTCCGGTCGCATGCTTGTGTCCGGACGCATGCTTGTGCCCGGTCGCATGCTTGTGTCCAGACGCATGCTTGTGTCCGGACGCATGCTTGTGTCCGGACGCATGCTTGTGTCCGGACGCATGCTTGCACCCGGACGCATGCTTGTGTCCGGACGCATGCTTGTTTCTGGACGCATGCTTGTGTACGGAGGCATCGGTCGCATTCTTTTGTCCAGATGCATGCTTGTGTCCGGACGCATGCTTGTGTCCGGACGCATGCTTGCGCACGGTCGCATGCTTGTGTCCGGACGCATGCTTGTGTCCGCTCGCATGCTTGTGTCCGGACCCATGCTTGTGTCCGGTCGCATGCTTGTGTCCGGACGCATGCTTGCGCCCGTTCGCATGCTTGCGCCCGCTCGCATGCTTGTGTCCGGACGCATGCTTGTGCCCGGACGCATGCTTGTGTCTGAACGCATGCTTGTGTCCAGACGCTTGCTTGTGTCCGGTTGCATGCTTGTGTCCGGACGCATGCTTGTGTCCAGACGCATGCTTGTGTCCGGTCGCATGCTTGTGTCCAGACACATGCTTGTCTTCGGACGCATGCTTGTGTCCGGTCGCATGCTTGTGTCCGGACGCATGCTTGTGTCCGGACGCATGCTTGTGTCCGGACGCATGCTTGTGTCCGGACGCATGCTTGTGTCCGGTCGCATGCTTGTGTCCGGACGCATGCTTGTGTCCGGTCGCATGCTTGTGTCCGGACGCATGCTTGTGTCCGGACGCATGCTTGTGTCGAGACGCATGCTTGTGTCCAGACGCATGCTTGTGTCCACACGCATGCTTGTGTCTGGTCGCATGCTTGTGTACGGAGGCATCAGTCGCATGCTTGTGTCCAGATGCATGCTTGTGTCCGGACGCATGCTTGTGTCCGGATGCATGCTTGTGTCCGGACGCATGCTTGTGTCCGGACGCATGCTTGTGTCCGGTCGCATGCTTGTGTCCGGTCGCATGCTTGTGTCCGGACGCATGCTTGTGTCCGGACGCATGCTTGTGTCCGGACGCATGCTTGTGTCCGGACGCATGCTTGTGTCCGGTCGCATGCTTGTGTCCGGACGCATGCTTGTGTCCGGTCGCATGCTTGTGTCCGGACGCATGCTTGTGTCCGGACGCATGCTTGTGTCCGGACGCATGCTTGTGTCCGGTCGCATGCCTGTGTCCGGTCGCATGCTTGTGTCCGGACGCATGCTTGTGCCCGGTCGCATGCTTGTGTCCGGTCGCATGCTTGTGCCCGGTCGCATGCTTGTGTCCAGTCGCATGCTTGTGTCCGGACGCATGCTTGTGTCCGGTCGCATGCTTGTGTCCGGACGCATGCTTGCGCCCGGTCGCATGCTTGTGTCCGGACGCATGCTTGCGCCCGACCGCATGCTTGCGCCCGGACGCATGCTTGTGTCCGGACGCATGCTTGTTTCTGGACGCATGCTTGTGTACGGAGGCATCGGACGCATGCTTGTGTCCAGATGCATGCTTGTGTCCGGACGCATGCTTGTGTCCGGACGCATGCTTGCGCACGGTCGCATGCTTGTGTCCGGACGCATGCTTGTGTCCGGTCGCATGCTTGTGTCCGGACGCATGCTTGTGTCCGGTCGCATGCTTGTGTCCGGACGCATGCTTGCGCCCGGTCGCATGCTTGCGCCCGCTCGCATGCTTGTGTCCGGACGCATGCTTGTGCCCGGACGCATGCTTGTGTCTGAACGCATGCTTGTGTCCAGACGCTTGCTTGTGTCCGGTTGCATGCTTGTGTCCGGACGCATGCTTGTGTCCAGACGCATGCTTGTGTCCGGTCGCATGCTTGTGTCCGGACGCATGCTTGTGTCTGGACGCATGCTTGTGTCCGGTCGCATGCTTGTGTCCGGACGCATGCTTGTGTCCGGTCGCATGCTTGTGTCCGGACGCATGCTTGTGTCCGGACGCATGCTTGTGTCCAGATGCATGCTTGTGTCCGGACGCATGCTTGTGTCCGGACGCATGCTTGCGCTCGGTCGCATGCTTGTGTCCGGACGCATGCTTGCGCTCGGTCGCATGCTTGTGTCCGGACGCATGCTTGTGTCCGGACGCATGTTTGTGTCCGGACGCATGCTTGCGCTCGGTCGCATGCTTGTGTCCGGACGCATGCTTGTGTCCGGTCGCATGCTTGTGTCCGGACGCATGCTTGCGCCCGGTCGCATGCTTGCGCCCGCTCGCATGCTTGTGTCCGGACGCATGCTTGTGCCCGGACGCATGCTTGCGCCCGGTCGCATGCTTGCGCCCGCTCGCATGCTTGTGTCCGGACGCATGCTTGTGCCCGGACGCATGCTTGTGTCCGGTCGCATGCTTGTGTCCGGACGCATGCTTGTGTCTAGACGCATGCTTGTGTCCGGTCGCATGCTTGTGTCCGGACGCATGCTTGTGTCTAGACGCATGCTTGTGTCCGGTCGCATGCTTGTGTCCAGATGCATGCTTGTGTCCGGACGCATGCTTGTGTCCGGACGCATGCTTGTGTCCGGACGCATGCTTGTGTCCGGACGCATGCTTGTGTCCGGTCGCATGCTTGTGTCCGGACGCATGCTTGCGTCCGGACGCATGCTTGTGTCCGCACGCATGCTTGTGTCCGGACGCATGCTTGTGTCCGGACGCATGCTTGTGTCCGGACGCATGCCTGTGTCCGGGCGCATGCTTGTGTCCGGACGCATGCTTGTGTCCGGTCGCATGCTTGTGTCCGGACGCATGCTTGTGCCCGGTCGCATGCCTGTGTCCGGACGCATGCTTGTGTCCGGACGCATGCTTGTGTCCGGACGCATGCTTGTGCCCGGACGCATGCTTGTGTCCGGACGCATGCTTGTGTCCGGACGGATGCTTGTTTCCGGACGCATGCTTGTGTACGGAGGCATCGGTCGCATTCTTTTGTCCAGATGCATGCTTGTGTCCGGACGCATGCTTGTGTCCGGACGCATGCTTGCGCACGGTCGCATGCTTGTGTCCGGACGCATGCTTGTGTCCGCTCGCATGCTTGTGTCCGGACCCATGCTTGTGTCCGGTCGCATGCTTGTGTCCGGACGCATGCTTGCGCCCGGTCGCATGCTTGCGCCCGCTCGCATGCTTGTGTCCGGACGCATGCTTGTGCCCGGACGCATGCTTGTGTCTGAACGCATGCTTGTGTCCAGACGCTTGCTTGTGTCCGGTTGCATGCTTGTGTCCGGACGCATGCTTGTGTCCGGTCGCATGCTTGTGTCCGGTCGCATGCTTGTGTCCGGACGCATGCTTGCGCCCGGTCGCATGCTTGCGCCCGAACGCATGCTTGTGTCCGGTCGCATGCTTGTGTCCGGTCGCATGCTTGTGTCCAGACGCATGCTTGCGCCCGGTCGCATGCTTGCGCCCGAACGCATGCTTGTGTCCGGACGCATGCTTGCGTCCGGACGCATGCTTGCGCCCGGTCGCATGCTTGTGTCCGGTCGCATGCTTGTGTCCGGACGCATGCTTGTGTCCGGACGCATGCTTGCGTCCGGACGCATGCTTGTGTCCGGACGCATGCTTGTGTCCGGACGCATACTTGCGCCCGGTTGCATGCTTGTGTCCGGACGCATGCTTGTGTCCGGACGCATGCTTGTGTCCGGACGCATGCTTGCGCCCGGTCGCATGCTTGTGTCCAGACGCATGCTTGTGTACGGACGCATGCTTGTGTCCGGACGCATGCTTGTGTCCGGACGCATGCTTGTGTCCGGACGCATGCTTGTGTCCGGACGCATGCTTGTGTCCGGACGCATGCTTGTGTCCGGACGCATGCTTGTGTCCGGATGCTTGCACCCGGTCGCATGCTTGTGTCGGGACGCATGCTTGTGTCCGGTCGCATGCTTGTGTCCAGACGCATGCTTGTGTCCGGACGCATGCTTGTGTCCGGACGCATGCTTGTGTCCGGACGCATGCTTGTGTCCGGTCGCATGCTTGTGTCCGGACGCATGCTTGTGTCCGGTCGCATGCTTGTGTCCGGACGCATGCTTGTGTCCGGACGCAT